TCACCACCCGGGCTGCAGCCAGCACCAGTGCAGTTGCCTGTTGCGAGCAAGATGGGGACACACTGCAGTACGAAGCACAGAGAGAGTGGAGCTGATGTGGGAAGAATAGAGATGAATAACATGGGTATTAGGGGTAGTCAGGGAAAAGGCCACGGGAAAGGAAGAAGCACAGGGCTCCTCTGCAAGAGAACGAAAGATAGGAAGTATACACTGGGATGGAGCATCATAAGAGGAAGAAGGGAAGTTACGCTGCTAATAGGTTGGTAGCTGTCGTGGCCCTGACTCCAGTAAGCATATCAACAAAATACCTGATTCTTTAACACAGCCAAGCTTTTTTCCTTGGTTCTTGCCACACTTGGTACAGGACGCCAGAGGCAGCAGGAAGGAGAGAAGCAAAGGCATGCCCAGGGTCTGGAAAGGGTTTACTTGGTTTTAAATCTTACTGAAATAAATGAGATTTAAGCAAGGTGCTGCACTCAATAGAGATGTTTTCTTAAATCAGGCCTTTCATCAAGAAATGTTAATTAGATGTATTTCCTTCCCAAGACATCTGCCTGTGAGGACAATATCATCATCTCTGAGGTCCTCAAGTACCTTAGTGACAAAGCCACATAGCCACCCAGGCAGGGAGAGCACTGAACCTCTCAGACCCCTGTTTTGCCACCCATGCTCATGACAAATAGTGTGGTTTTTTCTCTGAAATAATATCCAACTACTTCAGCAAGACTGCTGTTGAAAGCAGGGCTGCTCCTCACAAGAAAGATGACAGATTCCTGTCTTGGGCTGCCAACTCTTTCATATCAGGCTTTGCAGACAAGTCTGAAGACCACCATTGTGCCAGCATCACAGGCACTACAGAAACATGCAGTGGATGCTCCACCTCCTCCACCTGCGAGGAAAGAAAAGACACGTGCCTTTAGTGGGAAATCAACCCATGCAGTCAAATACCAGAGCGAGGTGGGGGAAAAGTCAGACAAATTAAATAGATGGATCAAATTCCAGCATGCCCTGAAGGTCACTCCATGCAGGGTCTGCTGTAGGGAAGGTGGGAGCAGCGTTGCTCCTCCAGGGAGGGTGCCAAGCTACCAGTCCCTTGTCGATTAATCCTGGGGAGCAGGAGGCAGTGGAGAACACCCTGCCAATTGTAAATGTGGTGATGGGGCATTGGGGGCATATATACGCATCATTAGTCATCCACAAGAATTTTGTTTTTGTAACCTCTGCATTTTTATCTGTCACTTCGAGCAATAAATATGCACTCCCGCCAGTGATTTGACATTACACTTGCTTTGGATGGTTGCCTTTCCCAAATATTAATAGTAACTCATTGTGGACACAGCATTGGTATTTAGTTAGATCAGACCAGCTTCTTTTAAAAAACAACTTTTCGTATGAAGAGAACAGATGTTTTTAATTTACACAAAGAACAAAAACAAAGTTCTATTGTTCAGTTACAGTGAACACAAACATAACAGGCACACAGCAATTAACACCAATAGCACGTTAAAAAAAAATTAAAAGCCCATCATTATACAGGCCTGCTTATTTGTGCTTTTTCCACCACTTTAACGATTTAGTGGCATGCAATGACAGCAAGTGTTGCTTTTTGGAATTCATATGAATTTGAGTGTAGAGTATTTTAAAGATAAAAATGGCATAAACATAGAGAGATTTTCTAAACACACATTATACAGATAATAATAATAATAATAATAGTTCTAGAATAACAAATGAGGAATGTAAACTCTCACAGTCCAGGGCATAAACCAACTATTAGTTCATTGGGATAGGAACAAATTGCCTCTTTCATCTTATAATTCTATAGTTGTTCCTTACAGGGCATATTTTCCTCTGGACCATCTGCACATAAGTGAGGTTTCAGCCCTCTGAATCACGATGTGTGTATACAAAAACTGAGCATTGGTTGCATCAGTGAGGTTATCTTTTAACATTGTATGAAGTTAAACCAGAACTATCCTTATATGCTACTTTTCCCTGAGGATTTATAAACCCCTTGAATGTACCTACAAGCTCCTGGCACATTCAGGTGAGAGCAGAGCTCAGGTACATGTCCATGCTAAGGTGACCAAGCCCCTTCCAGAACATGAGTGCTACCGTGCAGGTGGAGGTACCTCTTGCACTGCTCTGTCTCTTGCAAACACACACCCTGAGAAAATGTTTCTCAGAGATGAAGATTAGCTTCATTTCCATTTCTCACACACTGGACCCATAACCTGGATGTCTCATTCTTAACTTACTCTGAGGGATAGCATGGAGAAGCATCTCCTCTAGCACCTCAGTTTTGAAGTTTCCCCAGTGGTTCTCTCCAGTTGGCTGCCACATCTTAGGTCACCTTCTTGGGCAGCTACTTCTAGGTTTAGAAATATTGACGTATCAATATTTCTATCTGTATTTCAGATTTGCCAAATCTGCAGCTGCAAGAGAGCAAGGAGGGCAGGAATCCCTTATCTTGGCTTCTCCCAACTCTGTATAAGCAAACATTCTGCTTTCAGTACATTCAAACCAGACTTCACCCCATTTCCTTTCCCATTGTTTACTCGTTTTGGTTTTACCCAATAACAGGTACTATTTTACTTTATTCCACACTCAGACTAAGTATCAAACTATGAGGCTTACTTAAGATCATCACAGGAGACCTAGTGAAAAACAACAACACAAAAAAAATCCTTGCAATTGAACCAGCTGGAAAAAATAAAGTTATAGTTGAAAGACTTGGGACAGAAAAATTAAGAAGTCTTTTTCTGTAGCATTCAAGTAACCTGGGGATTTCAGTACCATAGAACAACAGAAAGACAAACACCATGACTCAAAGAGCTGGAGCCTTTTTCCACCACTAAAAGCAAGCCTCACTTGGCTGCTCCAAGTGGCCGGTTTTAAACTTTCAATCACACCATACAATACAAAATCCAGTTGCAGACCCATGCAGGAAAAAAGAGAAACTGAAGCATTACAGTCATACGGTACCTTTCAGCCCGAAAGAACCCAAGCCATGAATCATCTTATCCATCACAGAATGCCATCACCTCAGCACTGAAACACAGCAGCTGTTTATCACCCTACAAGAACATTAAGATGGGTTCTCTTATACAGCCAAAACAGCAAGGAAAACCAAGCAGACAAATGTAATAATCTGGAATGCACAAGCTTATCCTCCCTACCTTTATAATGAGTACCAGAGGGACTTTAGGGACCACAAGCAGCCGATGCTTCCAGCCACCCAATGCTAACAGTGCTTTCTGCAGCACTTAAGTGAACCTTGGAAGCCAAAACCATTTGACCTGGACTTGCTTTGCTTTGCTTGGTTGACAGTGAGGCTAAGAGCTGGCTATTGCACACTGACCACAATTGCTCTGTCACATCCAAAGTAATTTCTGCCACATTTAGAACCACAGTTAATGTCAGAAACAGAGTAACAGCAGTGCTCTGAGATGTTGAAAAACACCTAAGTTCATCTCCCCACTGCTTGTGCAAAGAAGGCAGCTAATTGCAGTCTTGTACCTGTCCTCATGGTTGGCTGTTCATTAATAAATTGCAATCACGCTCTCTCAAACATGGCTCCCTCAGACCTTGATTCTCAGTATCTCAGAGAGATGCTACATGGCTCTTGGAAGTGGCTTATCAAAATTGGAATTATTTTCTATCCAAATATACTGAAGTTTTCACTCAAAATCCAAAATCTCATTGTTACACCACACTCATCACTGTGGTATCTGAGTACTGCCATTTCCAGCCGAATTCCAGCCCCAGCTGGATTCAATGAAGAGTCACTCCGAGTCCGGGGACGCAGAGTTAACGCAGGCCAGGATCATGCAGCGAGTCCTGCGTGGCCTCATGAGAAGGTCGTTGCAGAAGTTGGACTTCAGCTC